AAAGGAAATTTGGCGTAATTTTATCAACAGAACGACATAGTTTTGAATTTCCCGCTTGATTTTCGAGCCAAAATGGCGGCAACCAGAATACTTTGATAATCTAGGGATTTTAGGTTGAGATGAAGTCCCTAGATTATCAAAGTAGGTACCGCGGTTCATGAAGCCTGTGTATTCGAGCCAAAATGGCGATTTGACCGCTTGTCAATATATATCACCACTTATTTACAAAAATAATGCCGTCTTGTTGCCTTTGGAGTTGCAAAAATAGCAGTAAGAAGGGCTTTCGACTCTTCAGAGTACCACGAGTAAAAAAAAGAAAGGAAATTTGGCGTAATTTTATCAACAGAACGACATAGTTTTATATTTCCCGCTTGACTTTTGAGCCAAAATGGCGGCAACCAAAATACTTTGATAATCTAGGGATTTTAGGTTGAGATAAAGTCCCTAGATTATCAAAGTAGGTACCGCGGTTCATGAAGCCTGTATATTTGAGCCAAAATGGCGGTTTGACAGCTTGTCAGTGTATATCACCTCTTATTTATAAAAATAATGCCATCTTCTTGCCTTTGGAGTTGCAAAAATAGCAGTAAGAAGGGCTTTCGACTCTTTAGAGTACAACGAAAAAAAAAAGAAAAGAAATTTGGCGTAATTTTATCAACATAGCTTTAAATTTCCCGCTTGACTTTCGAGCCAAAATAGCGGCAACCACGGTACTTTGATAATCTAGGGATTTTAGGTTGTGATAAAGTCCCTAGATTATCAAAGTAGGTACCGCTGTTCATGAAGCCTGTGTATTCGAGTCAAAATGGCGGTTTGACAGCTTGTCAGTGCATATCACCACTGATTTACAAAAATAATGTCGTCTTGTTGCCTTTGGAGTTGCAAAAATAGCAGTAAGAAGGGCTCATAGATAAAGAAGTAAAGATAGATTGCAATTCCATTATCTCTTTTTGTTGCCGCGTAAGCGCCATCTGTTGAGTTATTCCCCTCGATGTGAAACTTTTGGCGGCAGTTTTAATTATTTAAATAAATAGATAATTTTATAAATTGTTATTTTAATTCGCAAAAAGCATTACTTCATATTTTTATAATCTTTTTTGTTATACCCGTTGGAAAAATTAGAGTAAACAAAAAAAAATTATATGGAGTAACACAATCTGCGAATTACACTGACAAAATTGACAATCGAAATAGAAAATTAAAGTATTTTATAATATAAAATAATTTTTATTTTCTAGATCTATTGCTAGCGATAAGCCGCGCCTGTCTCTACAGGTCTGTATAAAAATTGCACTGCCTTGTATCGTTTCCACATATAATGCGATTTAATCCGGTACACAGGCAATGTATGGTAATAGTTACAATGTTATCTAAATAGTTCTGTCTTCTTCTGTGGATGAGGAAAGCAATGGCGACTGGAAGTACTATTTGTACACTCAAAAACAGCACAACAACGATACTTTTTAATACACCGTACCATTTTGAATAATAAAATCAAGTCAATTTTAATGTCAGTAGTTTTGATTTTCAAATTTGTAGTCAAACTGTACAATTTCATATGTGTGCGTGTTTTTGCATTAATTTTTAGACATCAGCGCTATCTAGTGAGTTATTCCCCTTGAGAGTTTCACGGTTTTGTTTAGGCTACCTGAGTGCACACACCGTGGAAGGGCTTTCGACTCTTTAGAGTACCTCCAAAATCAACAGAACGACATAGTTTTAAATTTCTCGCTTGACTTTTGAGCCAAAATGGCGGCAACCACGGTACTTTGATAATCTAGGGACTTTATCTCAACCTAAAGTCCCTAGATTGTCAAAGTAGGTTCCGCGCATTCATGAAGCTTATGTATTCGAACTATTCGAGCCAAAATCATGCACCAGTCACTCGTATTAATGAAGTGGGGCACATACGCTTGTCACTTATAGTGTTGCTTTCGATTACAGAACCCATTTTGGCCATTTTTTGAGTTGTCAGTTTGACTGCTTTGATCAGGTTTGACATAGTAATATTTTTGATTGCATGCAATTGCATGATTGTATTGTGCATAGAGGAAGAGTTGTTAGCGATTTGAAGAAAGAGCGATTTGTTGTTGTTGTTTTATAATAAGTACTTCGATTGATGTTATAATCAGTCATGAGGAAGCAACATTGGATAAATAGAATAAAATTAAAAAGAAACGATGCGGTATAAATAATATTAAAAAAATTAAAGAATAAAGTCTTTGTTATTCATTTAAAGACTTTTTAATAAACCCTGTACCAAATAATAACTCAAGTCATGTTTTCTTTTTTGGACAACATTGTAAACGACAAAATTTAATGTGTTTAAAATTTTGTACAGTTTGTAAAATTTTGTCGCCAAGCAATGTTTTCAGAAACACATCGACAAAACTTTCAAATAACAAATTTAATTTATATTTCCCGCCTATCAATGACTTCAACGCTGTAGGTAACAGTATCCAAAACTAATTGCGCATTTCAATCAAACGTTTATAGTTGCCTATCTATATAACAAATATATTATATCTAATCTATGGCCAAAATGGCGGTTTGACAGCTTGTCAGTGCATGTTACCACTTATTTACAAAAATATTACCGTCTTGTTGCCTTTGGAGTTCAAAAAATTGCAGTAAGAAGGGCTTTCGACTCTTTAGAGTACGTCGAGAAAAAAAAGAAAGGAAATTTGGCGTAATTTTATCAACAGAACGACAAAGTTTTAAATTTCCCGCTTGACTTTCGAGCCAAAATGGCGTCAAACTGCGGTACATTGTAAATCTAGGGACTTTTGGTTAAGATAAAGTCCCAAGATTTACAAAGTACCGCGGTTTGACGCTATTTTGGCTCGAAAGTCAAGCGGGAAATATAAAAAAATAAGTGGTGAGATGCAGTGACAAGCTGTCAAACCCAGTCAAACCGTTATTTTGGCTCGAAAACAGGCTTCATGAACCGCATAATTTTAATTTCCCACTGAACAGTATGCTACAAAAATTAATATTTTTGAGGTTATATCCTTATTGTTGATTTAATCAAAAAATGTTGTTAACAAAATTTCTTTAGAATTACTTCAGGAACAGTGTTTGTTAATACAATTTTTTGCTAACTTGAAATTTTAATTTCCCACTGAACAGTATGCTAC